TATACACTCGTCCACCGTGGCCTAATTGATCTATATAGCAATATCCGTGTGCTATGTAATGATAACGGAAGACGTACGAAATATCAGTGGGGAATTTCACTATAATTAACAATCAATTATGTAAAAATACCCAGAAAGTATTAATTTCATGTATATAATATTTAAACTGTTTATAGCCACATTAGGTAAGAGCTAAATCAGCAATTTTAAGGTTTTGTTGGGTTTTTTTTTCAAATGTTGTATAATCTATTATTTAGACATTTATTTATATGTCAAGCCTGTAATCAACTCTTTAAACCATCATTTGAATTAGTACACCCGCGAGATGTAAAAGTGTAACAACAAACTGGATAATCGAGTCTTAGTCTTCAATGTCAAGTACCGCTGTAATGAACAATCTATGCTGGATCTTATCAAGCCTTTTTTGAAACGTGCGTAACATCGCTTTAGATCTTAAGTCAAAGTAATTTGAATGAAACTTAATTTTCGATATTTTCATCTTTCGTTATCTACACTCAGCCAAATTAAAAACTTAACACTGATGAATTTCAACAAATTTTTTTTCTGGTAAGTGTTTCTAACGATAGTAAGTAGTAAGAAGCCTTTAATTTCATAAAATTGTAAAGTCACGTGGATCACGTGACTTTTGAGCATATAAAGATGAAAAACCTGAAAACACGCGCAAACACAAACTCGTGAGGTCAATCGATGCAAGTTTAAACTGAACACGCACACGTAACTTGAACTGGAAAAACAAATTAAAATTGTTATTTTCATCTTTGTTAGAAAATGCCGCGCCTTTCAAATGTAGAACGTCTACGTGCTATAAGTAGGCTCTATGCTGGTCAGTCTGTGGTCACTGTTGCAAGAGCCTTTAATTGTTCACGCCAGACAATAATTAATCTTAGAATGAGAGTGCTTCAAACTGGAACTATTGCCGACCGCCCAAGGGCGGGAGCGCCACGTGTGACGTCACTCCAGGAAGATCAAGCAATACGATTACGTCATCTTAGAAACAGATTTGTCACTGCAACCTCCACAAGTAGAGAGATGTTTGGTGGAAGGGTAACTGCACAAACTGTTCGAAATCGCTTGCAGGCTGCTGGTCTTCGAGCTCGGAGGCCCTATAATGGACCAATATTGACACCTCTTCGTCGCCGTAACCGACTTGTGTGGGCCACAAGACACATAAGATTTACTCAAAGACAGTGGAATTCGGTTGTCTTTAGTGACGAATCTCGATTCACTTTGAGATTTGCCGATGGCAGGGCTCGAGTGTACCGCAGACGAGGTGAACGTTACGCTCAAGTATGCGTCAGAGAAGTTGACCGATTTCGTGGCGGCAGCGTCATGGTTTGGGGTTCTTTTTGTGCACATGGACGTTCTCCTCTTGTTGTTGTCCAAGGGAACTTAAATACTGTCCAGTACAGGGATCAGATTTTGCAACCTGTTCTTCTTCCGTTTATGCAGAGACATGGGCCTGGACTAACGTTTCAACAAGACAATGCTCGACCCCATACAGCACTTGCTACCCAGAATTTTGTAAGAAATGCCGGTGTCCAAGTCCTGGATTATCCGTCGCTTAGCCCCGACCTTAATCCTATTGAACACATCTGGGACGAACTGGGTCGACGTGTTCGTCAGCAAGTGAATCCACCACTGACGTTGCAGGACCTTCAACATGCTCTTGCTGAGCAGTGGCGACGTCTCCCTCGGGTAGTGTTTACTAATGTTCTGAGATCCATGAGAAGACGTTGTGTGGCAGTACGAGACGCTAGAGGAGGCCACAACCGTTACTAAACACTTTATTCAGATTGATCTCCAAGTCTGTGAATTTCATTTTGGGGGGTACTGTGACATCACGAACGTTATCAATGTCAAGGACTTTCGGCGAGACGTATTCTTGCTTTCTGTTGATGTCAAGGTCATCTGTGCACAACATAACACTAAAATAGTTGCCTTAAACCAAATATTAAAAATCTAGTCCCAAAAATCCCGAGTGTCAAGTTTTTAATTTGGCTGAGTATATTTTTGAACAAACGGGCAGCTCTTTATCTGTGTGTGTGTGTGTGTGTGTGTGGAGGGGGCGGGGGTCTAGTGGTTTCAAATCACAGGGTCTGGCATTGTGCCAAACAACACTACTTGACTGAATGACAGGCCTTATGTCCCAACCATTCGGCTAAACAACCCCCTTTACATTCCGAATTAAAACAAGAAAAACCATTCGCAGTGAGTTGCCCAGGACATTTAGAATGCAAGATATTTCTATTTCGGGCACCTATTATTACAACAAAATCTAATTTCGGGTTACTATAATATTGTCAACATCTAACAATACTGCCTGGTTTTAATTCTCTATTCTAAACCCTGGAAATACTTATTAGAGCCGGAGGGCCTGGCTAGGACGGCTGTCTAGTCTTTTGGATGGGACGAAAAACCGAGGTCCCGTGTATACCTTGGCGAGCATGTAAAAGATCCCTTGACAGTTGGAATTCGATATAAGAGTAGGACGTAGTGCCGCTGTCCGAGCAAAATTTCCCTCATAGCACACTGTATGGCGTATGCCCGTCTTCATTATCCCAGTTGGTGCGCAACAGTAGGACGTTAAACGACCATTTCATTTCCTTAATAGAGCCACGTGAGTATTCAGCTGGGCTCATATTATTGTGCCATAAAATATCTTGCGTCAATGACAATTTTTTAAGAAAAAATTTGACACGAGTACCTTATTGACATAATGTAGGTGACATCCTTAAACTGCTAAACAAAAGGCGACGTTTCGTAGAAAAATACAACTGAGTCAGGCGTTATTTTCCCTATATTTTCCCACTGTAACTGTACATATTTATTTAAGATTTATAAATACGTAATTTACCTTTAGTTCATCGAAAGAAATGAAATAGGGTTTAACGTCCTACTGTTCTGATCCGAACTACTGAGCTAATGAAGACGGACATACGCCATACAGTGTGCTATGAGGGAAATTTTGCCCGGACAGAGGCACTACGGCCTACTCTTAAATCGAATTCCAACTGCCAAGGGATCTTTTACGTGCACGCCAATGTGTACAGGGACCTCGGTTTATCGTCCTATCCGAACGACTATGCGTTGTGTCTTGCCAGACCTCTGTCCTGTACCACTGACAAGGGCGAAGCACGCCAGAAAATCCCGATGAACTTTCTCGGCCAATGTAGGGATCGAACACTCGACTCCCAGGTTAGCGAACCAACGCCCTACTCCCTCTGACACAGGGACGCCATAAAGTGTGCTGTGAAGGAAATTTTTTCCCGGACAGAGGCACTACGGCCTACTCTTACATCGAATTCCAACTGCCAAGGGATCTTTTACGTGCTCGGCAATGTGTACACAGGACCTCGGGCTTTCGTCCTATCCGAACGACTATGCGTTGTGCCTTGCCAAGCGTTGTATAAATGAAACATGTTATTCTGATTAAAACAGCTAAAGTCGGTACGATAAAAAACATAGTCTCGATTATCCATTTGTGGATTTAATCATCAATGAGCGTTGAACAGCAGAGAGGTTTCAAATCCAGTGAAAATCCAACATATAAGATGGTATCGAGAGTTGATTAATTAGTTTACAAAACATTTCAAGCCTTAAGAAAGAACTGCAATAGGCAGATTTAGCTCTGGCATAATGTATGTTTAATAAGACAAAAAAAAGTTATCAAAATCATATATATGAAAAAGAAAGCGGGTTAAACGCGTCTTAAATTTCTCGAAGTAACCATTGTGTTTTCGACTGAAATCGTCGATAAAAAAATCAAAATGTCGGTCAAACAGCTTCGTGTCTGTTATCAAGCAGAACTAATTGTAGGCAAGACAGCGTAAGTTTCGTATGGCTCGAGACGAAACTGTAACTTTAAATTGAACAAATTTTAAAAATATGATATTGATATTAAATATTTATTACAAAAAGAATGAAGGAAAAAAAAGAAGAAAATCGTGACTTTATATTTCCCCGTTCCGTTTATTTACCATTTTATGTTGAACGACATTTGAAATATGTTTCACCTGATTTCGGATCTCATTAGATTGCAAACGTATTAACCCAAATTATACCAAGCTTGATGTCTATTGAACTTGCAAAACAATAATGTCACTTCCTCCCAGTTTTAATGTGGAAAATAAAAGACGCATTATGCAAGAGCTAAAACGTTTTATTGCAGGTGTTTTGCAAGCGTCAAGTGTTATATAAATTATTATTAAAACATTTATTAAAATGACAAGCCAATTATAAACACTCTTGGTTATCGGATGGCCCCGATTTTAAGTAGATTAGAACAACACGGCCATTAGTCTCGATTGTCAAGTACCAATGCTACGATAGTAACCAATTTACGCTACTTTTTGTCAAAACTTCAAACACTTATAAGTTCGCACTGAATAAAGTAATTTTTAAACTATGATAGCTAATTCATACATAATGCAAATTTAACTATCTTAAGGTCGCTAAATATCGCCAATGTGTACACGAGACCTCGGTTTTTCGTCCCATCCGTCTTGCACCACTGACAAGGGGGAACCACGCCTGAAAATCTGGATGAACTTTCTCGTCCAATGCATGGATTGAACACGCGAACCAACGTCCTACCCACTTAGCCACCGTGGCTCCCGAGCGATATTGAAGAACGCGAGTTAGTACTTACCGGGGGTGGGGGGATTGGATGGCCGAATGGTTAGCGCGTGTGCGCTGTATCATAAGGTCTGTCATTGAGTCAACTTGCGTGATTTCGTTTCCCCGATTGTACGTGACAAGGAGTAGGGTCGCCTGTCCAACCTCGTGGGTTTTCTCCGGGTCCACCGGTTTGCTCCCACTGCTAAAGACCCCTACGCGCAAGCGAATTATTGAAATAAAATTGAGCCATATGTTAGTCCCGAAATGACATAGTTTGTGTCGAGTAGACATTAAACCCCATTTCTCTCTCTGTCTCTCTCTCTCTCTCTCTCTCTCTCCCTGTCTCTCTCTCTCGTACTTACCTTTATCTTGTGGAAATCTATTCCCATAAACCTCATAGAACTTATCATTTACAATAACAACCAGAACCACAATCTCTATAGATATTCCCCACATGTTTTTCTTTTTAAAAAATCACTTCAAACTACGATATATTTAAACTCTTCTTCTTAAGAACAAATAAAATAAAATCCCGAAATTTAGACACGATCGTTGACGGCTTGGAATAAATTTAATATATGATATTATGGCACTATATAACGTTAGAAGAGTGGTTATTTAAAGGACACTCGCTCAATTCTCAACCTGTTAATGCGTGGAATATTCCATTACGAGTTTTATATAAACCAAGGTTGCATTAAAGCTGTGTGCAAGTAGTATAACACTTTGGTCCTTGAGACAAATTTGGTTCTTTGCAAAATTGTTTCTTCACTCTGTCTATCGAGTCAAATACACACGTACTTAATGAACGTGAATATATAGTTATACATAAAACAACCCAGTGATATTTTGGTAAAACGATAACCATTGTCAAGATATTCATCAAATTCTATCTGTTAATTGACCTATGGTTGGTAGACCAAATAAGGTAATGTCTCCTCCTTTATTCGTGTGAAATAAAGAGAGCTCATTCAGAAATTCCTAGCAGCCATTATTATTGAGAACGATGAACCTTGCAAAGCCATTACAGCTTAGCAATAAAGTTGTAAAACCATTGATGCTGTAGTCTTGTTACGATCACGAAGAAACAAACACAACCGAAATGAAATGAAATGAAATGAAATGGGGTTTAACGTCCTACTGTTCTGCTCCTATACTGGGCTAATGAAGACGGGCATACGCCATACAGTGTGCTATGAGGGAAATTTTGCCCGGGCAGCGTCACTATCGTCTACTCTTATATCGAATTACAACTGCCAAGGGATCTTTTACGTGCATTCTAATGTATACACGGGACCTCGGTTTTTCGTCTCATCCGAAGGACTAGACAGCGGGGGTCCTTGTCAGGCCCTCTGTTCTGCACGTCGGAAAATCAGGATGAACTTTCTCGGCCAATGCAGGGATCGAACACCCGACCTCCAGGCTAGCGAGGCAGCGTCTTAACCACCTAGCCACCGTGGCTCCACAAACACAACCAGAAAGAGAAGTCCAATAGTTTTACAGTAGGGAATATTTAGAAACTTGGCATCAAATAATGTATATAAACTATGGTTGTGTTAAAGCTGTGTGCATGTAGGGAATATTTAGAAACATATTTTATGTAGCTACAAATCTACGGACAAGACACAATACGCAGAAATCACAAACAAACGTACATAGATCCGGGGGCTAGCCGTAAGCGTCCACTGCGCTGTATAGTTCCCAGGCCTGTAGTGAGACAGATTCATACCGCTATGAGTAAGAGAGAGAGAGAGAAATGGGGTTTAACGTCCACTCGACACAAACTAGGTCATTTCGGGACTAACATATGGTTCAATTTAGCAGTGGGAGGAAACCGGAAGACCCGGAGAAAACCCACGAGGTTGGAGCTATGAGTGACGATCTGCTATATGCCACATGAAATATTAACATCATTATTACTTATCACAGGTAACGTTTAACCTAAATACAATAGATATATTTCTAATGATAAATCAAACAAATAATATGCTTTTATTTATATGTGTATGCATATGTACGTGTGTGTGTGTGTGGGGGGGGCATGGGTGTGTGTGAGTGGGTGTGTATACAACAAATCGTTGACCTCTAGAACACAAAATCTATATGTTCCTTCCTTCAAAAAAAACACCCCTTAAAAAAAAAACAAGCGATAAACTCCACTTATTAACTTGTCTATCGCGGTGTTATCGAAGTAGCTGGGCATGCGTTGCTATACTGGATATGTAATGAATATAAAGAGAACATATGCCTATCACGTTGTTCTCCGGTAACCCGTTTTAGCATTCATAACTGTCAATTATTAATAGATAGAGATATCATCATATTCCGATAAACTTCATCAGTACCTTTCTATTATTCATTCATTTAAAACATATTGTAGATAACTACAAAAAACAGGTAAACGTTGTTTGTGTTCAAAATCTATTTACTCATAATATAATATCACAATAAAGTAAATATAAATTTCAAAACATTATGGTCGATCCCCATCTTCCCGTCTTGGTGGTGGACCTTCACCGTCTTCCCGTCTTGGTGGTTCACCTTCGCCATCTTCCCGTCTTGGTGGTGGACCTTCACCGTCTTCCCGTCTTGGTGGTGGACCTTCACCGTCTTCCCGTCTTGGTGGTGGACCTTCACCATCTTCCCGTCTTGGTGGTGGACCTTCACCATCTTCCCGTCTTGGTGGTGGACCTTCACCGTCTTCCCGTCTTGGTGGTGGACCTTCACCGTCTTCCTGTCTTGGTGGTGGACCGCCGCCTTCCCTATCTTCGTCTCGTCTTGGGGGTTCATTTAAGTCTTCAGCTTGGCGTCGATTCCTTGGTGGTGGACCTTCACCATCTTCTCGTCTTGGTGGTGGACCTTCACCGTCTTCCCGTCTTGGTGGTGGACCTTCACCGTCTTCCCGTCTTGGTGGTGGACCTTCACCATCTTCCCGTCTTGGTGGTGGACCGTCGCCTTCCCTATCTTCGTCTCGTCTTGGGGGTTCATTTGAATTTTCAGCTTGGCGTCGATTCCTTGGTGGTTCACCTTCGCTATCTTCCCGTCTTGGTGGTGGACCTTCACCGTCTTCCCGTCTTGGTGGTGGACCTTCACCATCTTCTCGTCTTGGTGGTGGACCTTCACCGTCTTCCCGTCTTGGTGGTGGACCTTCACCGTCTTCCCGTCTTGGTGGTGGACCTTCACCATCTTCCCGTCTTGGTGGTGGACCTTCACCATCTTCCCGTCTTGGTGGTGGACCGTCGCCTTCCCTATCTTCGTCTCGTCTTGGGGGTTCATTTGAATCTTCAGCTTGGCGTCGATTCCTTGGTGGTGGACCTTCACCATCTTCCCGTCTTGGTGGTGGACCTTCACCATCTTCCCGTCTTGGTGGTGGACCTTCACCATCTTCCCGTCTTGGTGGTGGACCTTCACCGTCTTCCCGTCTTGGTGGTGGACCTTCACCGTCTTCCTGTCTTGGTGGTGGACCGCCGCCTTCCCTATCTTCGTCTCGTCTTGGGGGTTCATTTAAGTCTTCAGCTTGGCGTCGATTCCTTGGTGGTGGACCTTCACCATCTTCTCGTCTTGGTGGTGGACCTTCACCGTCTTCCCGTCTTGGTGGTGGACCTTCACCGTCTTCCCGTCTTGGTGGTGGACCTTCACCATCTTCCCGTCTTGGTGGTGGACCGTCGCCTTCCCTATCTTCGTCTCGTCTTGGGGGTTCATTTGAATCTTCAGCTTGGCGTCGATTCCTTGGTGGTTCACCTTCGCTATCTTCCCGTCTTGGTGGTGGACCTTCACCGTCTTCCCGTCTTGGTGGTGGACCTTCACCGTCTTCCCGTCTTGGTGGTGGACCTTCACCATCTTCCCGTCTTGGTGGTGGACCTTCACCGTCTTCCCGTCTTGGTGGTGGACCGCCGCCTTCCCTATCTTCGTCTCGTCTTGGGGGTTCATTTAAGTCTTCAGCTTGGCGTCGATTCCTTGGTGGTGGACCTTCACCATCTTCCCGTCTTGGTGGTGGACCTTCACCGTCTTCCCGTCTTGGTGGTGGACCTTCACCGTCTTCCTGTCTTGGTGGTGGACCGCCGCCTTCCCTATCTTCGTCTCGTCTTGGGGGTTCATTTAAGTCTTCAGCTTGGCGTCGATTCCTTGGTGGTGGACCTTCACCATCTTCTCGTCTTGGTGGTGGACCTTCACCGTCTTCCCGTCTTGGTGGTGGACCTTCACCGTCTTCCCGTCTTGGTGGTGGACCTTCACCATCTTCCCGTCTTGGTGGTGGACCGTCGCCTTCCCTATCTTCGTCTCGTCTTGGGGGTTCATTTGAATCTTCAGCTTGGCGTCGATTCCTTGGTGGTGGACCTTCACCATCTTCCCGTCTTGGTGGTGGACCTTCACCATCTTCCCGTCTTGGTGGTGGACCTTCACCATCTTCCCGTCTTGGTGGTGGACCTTCACCATCTTCCCGTCTTGGTGGTGGACCGTCGCCTTCCCTATCTTCGTCTCGTCTTGGGGGTTCATTTGAATCTTCAGCTTGGCGTCGATTCCTTGGTGGTGGACCTTCACCATCTTCCCGTCTTGGTGGTGGACCTTCACCATCTTCCCGTCTTGGTGGTGGACCTTCACCATCTTCCCGTCTTGGTGGTGGACCTTCACCGTCTTCCCGTCTTGGTGGTGGACCTTCACCGTCTTCCTGTCTTGGTGGTGGACCGCCGCCTTCCCTATCTTCGTCTCGTCTTGGGGGTTCATTTAAGTCTTCAGCTTGGCGTCGATTCCTTGGTGGTGGACCTTCACCATCTTCTCGTCTTGGTGGTGGACCTTCACCGTCTTCCCGTCTTGGTGGTGGACCTTCACCGTCTTCCCGTCTTGGTGGTGGACCTTCACCATCTTCCCGTCTTGGTGGTGGACCTTCACCATCTTCCCGTCTTGGTGGTGGACCGTCGCCTTCCCTATCTTCGTCTCGTCTTGGGGGTTCATTTGAATCTTCAGCTTGGCGTCGATTCCTTGGTGGTGGACCTTCACCATCTTCCCGTCTTGGTGGTGGACCTTCACCATCTTCCCGTCTTGGTGGTGGACCGTCGCCTTCCCTATCTTCGTCTCGTCTTGGGGGTTCATTTGAATCTTCAGCTTGGCGTCGATTCCTTGGTGGTGGACCTTCACCATCTTCCCGTCTTGGTGGTGGACCTTCACCATCTTCCCGTCTTGGTGGTGGACCTTCACCATCTTCCCGTCTTGGTGGTGGACCTTCACCGTCTTCCCGTCTTGGTGGTGGACCTTCACCGTCTTCCTGTCTTGGTGGTGGACCGCCGCCTTCCCTATCTTCGTCTCGTCTTGGGGGTTCATTTAAGTCTTCAGCTTCGCGTCGATTCCTTGGTGGTGGACCTTCACCATCTTCCCGTCTTGGTGGTGGACCTTCACCGTCTTCCCGTCTTGGTGGTGGACCTTCTTCTTCGTCTCGTCTTGGGGGTTCATTTAAATCTTCAGCTTGGCGTCGATTCCTTTGTCGTGTACCTTCTTGTTCTTCCCGTCTTGGTAGTCGATCATCATCTCTTCTTCGATCTGACTCAGTGGGCCGGGCATGAGCCACGGCTAGTACAACTAGCAAACATACAACACCTAACTTCATGTTGTTGGATTAACAAGTTGATGCTAAAACGACTAGCCGCATCTCTTTTATA